ATATCGTAAATTAATTTAAAAATACCATTAAGTAATGTTAATATAATCCATTCGTCATGAATGATATAAAATACGTGATAAAAATCAGTATATTAAAATATAGGCACATTTCACCAAAATAAAGACAGCTCGAAAGATTGAAACATTACAACAAAATTACTGCATGCAATGTGTCGATCCTCTAAGTGTCTGATCTGAGAGCCTATCCAAAATATCTGAAAGGGGAACGAAAGGGGAGTGAGCTAGGGAGCTCAGTGTGATCCAATACGTGCAATATAAAACATATAGAAAAATTCAAAAAATAATTCAGTAAAGTACTATAAGAATATCAGTGAAGTTTATTTAAAACAAATATCTACCCTCCACCCGTACACCATATATACCCTAGAACAAGCATCTATAAGGACTTAGCCTAGACACCTAGGATCTAGAAGCCCAATATGAAAGATCAGAACATAAAGGAATTACCAGCTAACTGAACCTCAGAGTCTCCAGACACCTACCCGGACAATATCTAGTAAAGCAATTTTCACACAATACTAGTAATATCAGAAATCAAATATTTTACAGTAATAGTAATTCATATAACATATATCAAACAAATAAGAAACTTCATATCAATAAAAACAAAATTTAGGAAAATCAAGAAAATCAATAAACACAATTATGTGCACTTGGAAGTTATGATATATATTTAAAACAGATAAATATAGCACCCAAGGAACACACCTCGCGAAACGGGTCGGTATAAGGGATTTACAGAGCATTGGTCTTGCTACGATCAAAAGTAGTACTCAATCCTAAATCAGATCAGAACACAATTACTATTGAAGTAATGAGTTGAACAGAGTATCTAACAGAGTTTCAGAACAAATCGAGAATTCACAGCTCATGCTAACGAACAGATTGGGAGGAGCTGGATCGAGCAGTTGTACGGTCGAGCGAATCTCGTATACCTAACATAACCAAAGTCTTCTATCGGACCTTGTCATTTCCTTATCAATCTTTAACCAATTTAATGAAAATAAGTATGCAAGCTCAGGTTCAAGAGTCAATTTGGAGGCTTTCGAGTTAAAATTGGATAAACAAACTTCATATTCGGACTTAGAAAGTCAAAACACATAAAATAAGATTTTTTCCCTAAAAAAAACTTAACTTTTTGTTCAACGTCAACGTAACGGGTCAAAGTTAACGGTCCAAGTCAAAGGTCAATGATCCAGATCAACGAGTTGGCTCAGTTCGTCTGAATTGGTTTAGCTGAGTTGACTCAGTGTGTTAACTCACCGAGATGACTCGATTTCCAGAAAATTTGATGGGAACAAGATCCGCGCGCCGACAGCACATGTGGCGGGTGAACAGCAGAAGGACGACGACCGATTAACCGGAATACCACCAAACACCAAACACAAACCTAAACAACTTAGATTACCAGTCAAACGTTGATGAAAATTAAATATAAAGCAATCGGAGTTTACTCAACAACGGTCAACAATTGGACGACGACGAGGTTACTGATCCAAGTGGGTTTTGCTCGGAAAGGGTAATCGGTGGTGAGACGACAACTAAATGTTAAACACAATTGGAATTTTTTTGAGGTTAGTGATTTGACTCAAACTGATTTTTGGGAAAAAGGTTGTTGGGATTTAAAAGGGATTGTCTCAGGAAAGGCAGATTAATATACGACGTTATCGAATACATTAAAAGATATTTGATAAATTCGGTTTAGCGCTATCGGAAATATCGAGTAATAATAATGTAATAGGTGGAAATCATGAAGAAATATTAAAAAAATTGGCAACCGGCAAACTTAGTTTGTCGGTTTGTGTCGATACTTTATTAAAATAGATTGATCCATAACAATATAACAGGTAAAAAAATGACAAAATCAGTCTATAAATGACAAAACAGGTAAAGCGCTACCAGATATATTGAAAGTGTCGATACTTTATAAAAATGTATCGATCCATAACAATATAACAGATAAAAAAATGACAAAACCGGTCTATAAATGACAAAACATGTAAAGCGCTACCGGATATATTGAAAGTGTCGATACTTTATAAAAATGTATCGATCCATAACAATATAACAGGTAAAAAAATGACAAACCGATCTATAAATGACAAAACAGATAAAGCGCTACCGGATATATTGAAAGTGTCGATACTTTATAAAAATGTATCGATCCATAACAATATAACAAGTAAAAAAAATGACAAAACCGGTCTATAAATGACAAAACAGGTAAAGCGCTACCGGATATGTTGATAGTGTCGACACTTTTGAAATTTAAAAGAGAAGAAGTTATAGTGCTAATAAAGTGTTGATACTTTATAAAAATGTATCGATCCATAACAATATAACATGTAAAAGTATGACAAAACCGGTCTCGAAATGACAAAACCGGTAAAGAGCTACCAGATATGTTGAAAGTGTCGATATTTTATTATAAGTATCGACACTTTTGGAATTTAAAAGAAAAGAAGTTATAGCGCCAATAAAGTGTCGATACTTTATAAAAATATATCGATCCATAACAATATAACATGTAAAAATATGACAAAATCGGTCTCGAAATGACAAAATCGATACAAAAAATTGTGCTTGTGTGGTCATTTTTATTTCAGAATTTTCATTTTTAATACAAAAAGTTGGATATTTTAAACAAAACTCATTAAGAAAAGAACAAAAACTTTGCAGTAACAAAAGAATAATATTGGGAAACCCACCATGTTATCAGCTTCTCAAAGAACAAAAACCCAGAAACAGATATCTCTCAACGCAAGCTTATAATATACTCTTATTATCTCTATAGGATAAAGTTAGGTCAGTTTTAGTTTTATTTTTTTGGTTAGGATTTTGTGTCATTGAAACTGTTGATTGAAGAACTCAAACTGGTGCACGCATAAGTGTCGATGCATTTATGAAAAGTATCGATCCAAAAAATATCGAAATCGATAATTATTATGTAACAAGTAAATTTACAATGTAACCAGTAAAAATATAATGGTTAATTAGCAAATAGGTTTACATTATGTATCGACACTCTTTAAATATGTGTCGATACTTTTTTCCCAAAATGAAAGCACAACGAGGTGCACGCATAAAGTGTCGATACATTTAAAATTGTATCAATTCCAAAAATATCAAACTCGATAATTATAATGTAATAGGTAAATTTACAATGTTACCGGTTTAAATATACAGGTTTAGTTAGAAAATATGTCAATATAAGCGCTACCTATTACATTATATAAACGCTACTTAATATATTATTATACTTGATAATATTTTCGATTAAATTATATAACATAATCGATTATTTATTTAACAGATCACGCCGTTTTTTAGATGCTTCACAGCAGAAGTTTCCGATTTAAAATCTCAGGTGAATGCTTAAGAAATATTCCTAGTGGCTATGGCATGACACACCATATTTGTTGTCAGGGGTTCAAATCCCCTTAACCACTTAAAAAAATCTCATCATTTCCCTTATTTTTTTTCTTTCCTGTCAGCTGAAGGTGAAATTTAGAGCTTAGTTCCTGAACTTCAGGGAATTTCGAAAACTGACCTAAAACTTTGAAAACTCGCAATTTTTGGGGTGCGACTTCTTTACTTTATCGGATAGATTGATTTTGTATTGGTCGAAGCAAGCTAACCTGATGGCTCAGTTCTTATTACACGGAGAAATTTGAGTTTATCCACAAATCACAAATGATCTTTATTGGTCTGGAGGTCGGGTAGAAACTAGGCTTAGTGATAGTCGAGAGCAAATCAGACAAACCTCGGGAACAGTTGCCCGTTGTAGAACATGGGGTCAACTTTCAAAAAATTAAATACAAAAGGGTCATTTTCAAGTTCAACCCAAATTACCACCAGAAGACACGTGAAATGCAAAAAAGTAATCAGTCCCAAATGGTTCATCCGAATCTCATTTGTTATGGGGAAAAAAAACAAGTCCCGAATGGTTCATCCGAATCCCATTTGATATGAAAAAATAAGTAATACTTCGTTTGGGAATACTTTTCCAAACGAGCTTTTCCAACGAAAAAACACCCTTTTTTTCAGCGTCTTAGTTTGAGTCAATAATCATGTTTCAAATGTGATTTTTTTTTTGCTGAAAATGAATTGTTTGGGAATGCTTTTACGTTTGAGACGGAATTTTGGATCAAAAACACTTCCATAAGCATTCCTAACTAGCCCTATGGATTATTTGAATCCCATTTGATATGAAAAAATAACCAAGTGCCTAATGATTCATCCAAATCCAACAGTTGGAGTTTGATAGTCACACCTGCAGATTTCCTCGGATCTCAGCTTACTCTGTAAAAATGAGAATGAAGAAAGTAGCCCTCTACGTTTCTTTTTGAAAGAAATGCATCAACTGGAGTGAAGTCAACCATATCACAATTCACAAAGTCAGTGCTATTACTAATCAATCCTTTGTCTGGAGGCCTGGACTATACACACATTAACTCAACTCTCAGTTTATCCTCCTGTGTATTAATCAAAAGAATACACAGAGCCAATGTGGCCTGATCATCAGTGTAATCTAAATGGAAGAGTTTACTACCAAGAAAAGTAAATAATGAGCAATTAATTATTTCTTACACCAAAGCACCTAATGTGGAATAACACTATACTAGGTTGTACGATTAAAGCCTTACAACACCAAGTGAAAGTTCTGGAAATTGCAACACCTTAGTTAATGGTACTAAAATAGGCTATGTACCTATGGTTACTCATGCACATGCCTCCATCCATCAAATAAATCCTGCAGATATCAAGAAAAAGCCTTTCCAGGGTGAAGGTTTGATGTATTCAGCAATTACGAATTACTTAACAATATAATGCTTTGAAATGCATATTGCATACTTTAGAATCAACTCTTGCAGTTTGAGGAATGCTATAAGGAAATGCAATTACAATTACTTTGCAATGATTGCTAAAGCACCAAAAAGGTGCCGAGGGCCTAAAATTTAGATGAGAACATGTTGAAGTTCTAAAAAAGAGTCTATCCACATATATATATAATCCGCAAACACTTATTTTAACCTGCACCACTAAGGTTCTGCACAACGGGATTGCGATTACCTTCACAATTCTGCAGCTTAGAAAAGATTTAAAACTTATAAGCCAATGCCACACGATATGATGATAAATTAGTATTTAGTGTTTCAAAACGGTTGGTCACGAATCATAGAGGATCCTAAATAAAAATCTTGCGAACCTCGCATAGGAACATCTACAGAGTAGACATCAAGATTTCATAAACAAACCTCATTCTATTTCTGCACAATGGATTTGACATTTCCCAACCATTGTACGAGTTCAATCCTATCCTTATTCGTCATATACTCGTGCAAAAAGCGACAAAGTTCATTATTTACACCCCTTGCTTCCAAGTAATCACGAAGTGTCTTCTGAAGTTCCCCATTCATTTTCCTGAAGGAAAAAGAACACAATTTAGTTTGCCGATCATCATTAAAATGAAAAATGTAGTAAACGAACTAGCAAGTTATACCTGAAATCAGGTCCCATATACGGATTAATGACAATCTTATCACGATTTAGCAAATGAACTTTCTGGATTTCTAAACGATCGGGCCAAGCCGAGCACAAAAATTCCATTTCAGGATATCCTTGACCTTTGGATATATCAACAAGCAAGCTAATGTGAAGAACCACATTTTCCCCGGTGCTATCTTCTCCGGGCTTAGGAACAAAAGCACAACCGTCAAACATGGTTGTTTCTAATTTGATATCTTCATTGTCTCCATATCTTGCCCTCATTGTCATCCACTTCTCTCCCGGCCGGTCTTGAACCGTGAATGAATTGAAACTCGTAGCAGGCTACATAAATTGGGAAGAAACAAATCAAATTAAAATCTGGGAGCAAACGTTTCGATAGGAACAATTAGTTACCCGATGGGGAGGGGAGTAGTCGAGCTGGTACTCGATCTCGTTGCTTAGGATTCTGATGACGTTGGCTGTGAAAGGCGATTCGTGGGTTTTGCAGGTTGCATAGGTTTTGAATCGGAGTAGTGAAGCTGGTGATTGGCTGTCGTTAGTTAGGGTTTTCGAAGCAGCGGGGATGAATGTTCTTTGAGCTGTTCGAATGAAGCGAGCCATCTTTGCTTTACTGTTGGACTGCGTAGGTTATTTGAGTTTTCTCGATCTATGTTATGGATTCGGGGTTTTAGGATCAACCGGGCTTAAACTTCAAAGACGAATCAGGGTTTTAGGATCATCAGATGTCCAGCCCATCCTGTTTTCTTCATTGAAAGCGGATTCAATGTGAACGGGCCATGTTTCTGCAATCTAACAGAGGATGATGTCACAAGGTTTCATAATTATTTTCCATCGCTCATTTCCAAATTATTTTCCACTTACTGTCAAAGCTTCCATTCAGAATTTCTTTTTCTAATTTATTTGAAAATGTCAAACCTTTATAATAATACCCGACATCATCATATATTTCCCCCTCAAATGTATATTTCAATAGCTCGGGGGCGCGTTTGAACCGAGATTTTCATGACGAGCAATAAAACATTTGTCGGCTTTAGTAAATCCCAGACAAGAAGAAGAATCATAGTTGCCGACAACTGAATGGTTCCACGTTTCAAAGTGTGTGCCATAGGCAGAGATTCATTGATCGATGAACATTGGAAACGAAAGCCAACACATTAAAATGCGTCGTTTTAAGATAATTTTTTTAATTAATCACTGGTATTCGATCTATTAATCGATTAATTCAGATAGAATATTATAGAGGCGATGACGACCCTCCCAACTCAATTTACTCCATTCGCAAACGGTTTTAAGACGAGTTTTTGAGATTGCATGTTGTGTACCCAAATACGTTGTACCCAAATAAGTAATTAGAAAATCCGATCTTTGTTCGACTGTTTTTTGAGATGCCATGTTGTGTACCCAAATACGTTGTATCCTTTGTGTTGGGGGTGGATTTTCTAATTTTGCGGCATCACTGATAATTGCTTCCCGCTTCCAAGTCTCAACTAACGTACAGTGGTTTGGCTGGTACATGTGGATATAGTTCAACTCGCACTCGGTTGCCACAAGAGTCAATGATGCAGGTCGCAGCTGATTAGATGGCTATGGGTTTCCTAATTGCACGTGGACAGTAGGCTACCCATTAAAATAGATTTCTTTTAATAGGATTAAAATAGATTTTACTTCACGTCTAATGGTCGATTTAAAAACTAAGATTATATTTTGGTTCATAGATGCTTTTTATTATAATTGATTTAGGAATAAATAGTGTAAAAATTACCTTACAGTTTTCTTTCTCAAACCTTAAAAATGTGATTCTGAAATATAAATTTATTGCAAATAATGTTAGGATCAAACGCCCTTTAACAAACAATGGGTGAGACAGTTGGATTTAGATGCAAATTGAGAAGTTAAAGTTTGTGATGACGTAGAATTGAGCGTGATTCTTACACTTCGATAAGTGAACACCAAATTGGGTATTTGTCAAATGATTGGAGCTAATTCCCAGTTGGTTCACCAATCACCAGTCATTTACAAAAGCCAAACCCAAGAAAAGATAGTGGAAAGGAAAGGAAAGGATGGTCTTTTTTTTCTGTATGTATTGTTTGATTCCGTTTCCTACTTTAAGCGGCAAATGATTTTTTTTTTTAATTTGCAACAAAAGGATGCAAGTGGATACCAGTTAAGTCCATCTACCGCGTGACCCCTTCACGATCTTAGCACAAGTAGGCAAACTGCTTTGCAGCCTTTTCTTTTTAATCCCCTAAAACAAGCACGCAGACCCATGGTTTACCGGCCTTAACCAGCGGGCTCATTCTGACACCCCCGCAATAAATTTTACCGTTCGATGGTTCCCGATACATGAATTTTTACCGTAAGACACAGTTTAATTTTTTTGGATCATTATAAAAGCATTTATTGAACTTTATGGGTTGGAGTTGGAAATTTGAAGTCACCCCGTCATGTTAATTACTTATTTATTGAAAGTCTTGAAAGAAACAAAGATAAAGGTGAAACCATATTCAAGTTCCGAGTCTCGACAAGGAAAGTTGAATAGTGTCATCTCCTCCAACAAAGTTTTTTTTTAAAAGAGAATTTATAGCCACTAATGTACGAGACAGACTGGGTTTCCAGTTTCCACAAACAAAGACAGCTCAGAGAAAAAGGAAACAGTCATTTTGTCAGACAGTCAATCTCTACTCAAGTTGGCCACTTCCAACCGCCTTCGTGTGCCGTTCGATGCAGTACGACATTGTTCTGTTGCTCAAAGTTTTACGATTACGGACCGACGAAGTAACTTTCAGTTTCAGAGATCCAAGACGGGGTCAAGTCAGCACAATTGAGGGTTGCCTGCTTGTCTGGCAGGTTGTAGGATCCAAACCTTGCTGATAATTTTTTACACGCATCCCCAAGGAAGCCCATTTAAAACAAACGAGATCCACATCTCACTTGCATCGTCTCCAATGTTGGAAACTTGGGAATTTCCAATTACAAGCACCAGTCCAACCAGCAAAAGGGACTTGGCATGTAGCAATGAAAACCAAGAACAAAATGGTGTGCATGAAATAGCAAAATAAAGAAACAATTGCCTCTCGTTCAATCTGTATGATATATTTGATCTCAACCAGGGAGGGAGTATCAAATTTACTACCGCAAACTTACAAAGAACAATTATAATGATTTCAATATAGAACCACTGAACCACGTAAAACAGTAATCTCTTCGAGAACACAGGGGAAAGGATTGGATCTATCTATATGTATAAATCTCTCTCTCCATAATTTCTTTCTCCTAATGTATCATTCTTATTGTACTATGTTCAAGAACAAATGGGGTTAGTGAGAAATCGAATAGCGACATTATCAACCAAGGATTAGAGTACTATCAAGGGCAATGGAGGATCTTTATTTCTTCCATGCATAAACAAGCAAAGAGAAGCCAGTAGGAGCACTTAACTCACTCTCCTCCACGCTTGCCCACTCCATTACGGAAGAGCTGCCTCCTGAGGAAGCCGAAGACATCGAAAGCGAAGAAGATGATGAGCTTCTAGCAGCCCTCAACAAGCTTTTCCTCATTTTTTTCCACTCGATTCCATTGACGCCAAAGCTGCACGAACTTTGCTGCCACAAAACGCCCCCATTCTTCTCGTTGAAAGCACCCACTACTTCATCGGCTCCATCATGCTGATAATCTCCATCAAGAATTTCAGAGCCTTCGTTCTCAAACTTAAACATGAAAACTGCATGCCCGTTGTTCAAATCATTATCAAACAACCAGTTATACACGTCCCACGAGACTTGTATTAAGACGCCCTCTACTTCGATACGTTCATTGCCTCTAAATTTCCACTTAAGTCGCTTCACTTGCAATACCCTTTTGTTAGCAATGCTAAAACACAGTTCCCCATCCTCTTCCTCCTTAAATTCAATAGAAATTTCCCTACTTTTGCCTCCAATTCTAGCTTTTGTGTTGTACACTTTGTTGCCGAGCACGTGTTCTCTTCTCAAAACAAGAGCTTGGCTTTCCCTAGGCTTTTGAGCTCTAGTTTTGGCATAAGCCTCTCTGGCAGAATCGCCAACAAGAAGCGCCATTTCTCCATCAACAACAATAGCAATATAGAATCCAGAGTCGGGTTCAGGCCCGGATCCGAACTTGGCCCTAGAAAGGTCCCAGAAGACTTGAACATTAGGAACCGTGGCGCTGCTCAATTTCTTATATCCATGATTCTTCCAAAAAATAAAGGGCTTAATATGCAGATGAAAATGGAGGGTGGAGAACGAAAGGGAGGCAGGGAGAGGGAGCGGAGAAGAGGGAGAGTAGTGAGAGGAAGGGTGGAGGTGGAGGTGGAGAGAGTGGCCAAGGAAAGTTCGTGACCAGGTAAGGGAAAAAAGGCCGAGACTTGTGTTGTAGAGACTCGTAGCAAGATCCGTTTTACCTGAGATTTGTGGCGGCGGTGGAGGAGGTGCTATGAAGCTGCTATCAGCGGTGAAGCAGGGCCGGAAACAAGAAGGGAACGAGGGGGAGTGGTGGTGGGATTGAAGAGGCATCCTTTGATGGTTTGAGATTTGTGTGAAATGAAATTTCAAGGGATTTCTAATGGAGGCTGCATATCAGCACTTCAGCAGGGCCTTATAAGGATGGGGTTTTCAAGGGATTGAGAGTTGAGACTTGTAGACTTTCCTACCTGAAAATTTTCATCAGACTTGGTTTTTTTTTGGGGTCCATTTTTTTTAGTTACATAGAATAAAGATTTTTTTCCTGAACAATATACTAATTTAATCCCTTGCCTAAACAATGGCATAGAAAAACATATTAATCATTTTATGGTGATGAGTTGCAAGTAATTAACAAATAATATTTTTTTGATATAATAAAATTTAGATCAACGATGATTACCATGGCATACCTAAGATATAATTAAGATTTATATAAGACTTTAGACATTGTCCACCAACAATGATAATGATGGGATTCGAACCTGAACTTACAAACTTAAATTAACAAATAATATTGACTAATTACATGTTAATGCTTCTTGAAATTTGACCAAGGTCAAACCGGATTTCATTATTTTAAATACAACCATTTATTTATGTAAATACAGTAGATACTCTAATATATGTCTCATTTACCTACTCGTATTTTAGAACTAAAATAAATATGTTGGTAGGAAATTAAAAATATGAATATTTTGGGATATAATAAATAATACTAATGCAGAACATATTCCAAAAATTCATATTAGGTTGTTGAACTTGTATAAACGTTGATGTGGCAAATTACTTGTCTTTATTTTTTTCTCAACAAATACGGTTTTACTTCATTCGATATGTTTCCTCTAAAAAGCAAACTCCATTCACTTTATTTAAATTAAAGCCTCTGGAAATCCGGTAGCCATGATAATTCATGTCAACTTCAAAGTTAATTTTTTTTTAGAATTATTTGTTTATATGTATAAATTTATAATTTTATAAATTAACTATACTCAAATGCGTGGAAGGGTCGTGTAAGATATTGCCAGCAATGGCATTATTTCGAGGGTCCAAAGAAACAATTGGAAAGAGAATGAAATGAGGCAGAATTAGTATTAAAGGTTTGACGATGGAATCTGGGTTTAATTGTGCACACA